CCCCTGGGACCGGTGTGGATGGTGGCGGGGGGTGCGGTGCCAGTGGTGTGGGGCTGTGTCAGCCCCCGGGGGGAGCCTGGCCATGGGGCTGAGAGTAACGAGTAACGGTGCCGAACGCGTAACGATGCTGAATGAGTAACGATGCCAAACGAGTAACGGTGCCTCTGCTCCGGCAAAGGCTGCAGGACGAGGTGACCCTGCGCCTGGAGGCCGAGAGCAACCTGGCTGCCTACAGGCAGGTGAGGGCAGGGGCCAGATCCTGCCCCCCCCCACCTGCACCCCGGGGGCTCAGCCCCCAGCTCAGCCCCCCAGCCCCTAGGGATGGGACAGGGGTGGGACAGGGAAAGGACAGGGATGGAGTGGGGATGGGGCAGGGATGGGGCAGGGAAGGGACAGGGATGGAGCGGGGATGGGACAGGGAAGGGACAGGGATGAGACAGGGAAGGGGCAGGGATGGGACAGGGATGGGGCAGGGATGGAGCGGGGATGGGGCAGGGATGGGGCAGGGAAGGGACAGGGATGGAGCGGGGATGGGACAGGGAAGGGACAGGGATGGGGCAGGGATGGAGCAGGGAAGGGACAGGGATGGGACAGGGATGGGATGGGGATGGAGCAGGGATGGGGCAGGGATGGAGCAGGGATGGGGCAGGGATGGAGCAGGGATGGGACGGGGATGAGGCAGGACCAGGCAGCTCAGGAGGGAGCAGATCCCAGTGACCAGCCCTGGGGACGGTCCCTCCTGTCCCGCCTGCGGTGGTAGGACGTGGATGCCGCTGCATTGGCTCGCCTGGACCTGGAGCGGCGGGTGGGGCCCCTGCAGGATGAGATCGCCTTTCTCCGCAAGGTCCACGAGGAGGTAACCCCGCTCGGGGGGGTCCCGGGGCGCAGAGGGGCCGGGCTGATCCCCACTGTGTCCTCAGGAGCTGCGGGAGCTGCAGGAGCAGCTGGCCCGGCAGCGGGTGCACGTCGAGGTGGACGCGAGCAAGCCGGACCTGACAGCCGCCTTGCGTGACATCCGCAGCCAGTACGAGGCCATGGCCGCCAGCAACGTGCAGGAGACCGAGGAGTGGTACAAGTCCAAGGTGCGGTGGGAACCACTCACCCAACGGATGGGTGCTCTCCTGGGTTGTCACCTTCTCATGGCTGGGGTTGATGCCCCTAGGGTTGGATGGCTCTGCTTGGTGGTGGCTGTCCCCTCCCAAGATGTCACCTTCTCGGGACTGGGGTTGACGCCCCGAGGGTTGGATGTTTTTTCTTGGTGGTGGTGCATGGGGTTTGGCATCCCCGATCAGGTCCTGCGTCCTGGTTAGGTCCCCGTGGGGAGCAGGGACGTGTCCCCCATGGTGAGTCACACAGGCACGGTGCCTAAGGAGTTGTGTTCACAGTGGCATGGCTCACATGCACCATCCCACAGAGGCAGGGATGTGTCCCCTGTGACATCCCACAGCACCATCCCTCCCACCCGCAAAGCACGGACATGTCTCCAGCAACACCTACCATCAGGGCTGTGTCCCATGTCCACTGTCCCACCACCCCAAGAGAGGAAGGATGTGCTTTCATGGCACATGCCATCAGCCACACGCCCCACGTGCTCTGTCCCTTCCACCCACGAGAGCTGGGACACATCCCTACCACCACCTGCCACTGAGGGCACATCCCATGTGCACTGTCCTTTCTGCCCATTGGAGCTGGATGTGTCCCCACGACACATGCTGCTGGGGCCACGTCGCTCCCATGGGAGCTGGGATGTGGTCTCAGGACGTGTGCCTTTGGGGATGTCCCATATGTCCCTTCCTGCTGTGGCAACAGGGGTGTGTCCCCAGTGCCACATCAAGTGCACATCCCATGTGTATGGTCCCCTTCTGCCACTGGAGCGGGGACATGTCCTCAGAGAAACACGGTACTGGGGACACGTCCCACCACCCTGCAGTAGCAGGGACATTTCTCCATGCCACATGCTACTGGGGCCATGTCCCTCCCATGGAGCAGAGCTGGGTCATGTCCCCATGCCATGTGCCAGTGGGACACATCCCTGCCATATAGTCCCATCCCATGGCACATGTCCCCCCCCACCAGTTCGCGGACCTGACGGATGCGGCCGCCCGGCACACGGAGGCCCTGCGTGCAGCCAAGCAGGAGGCCAACGAGTACCGGCGCCAGCTCCAGGCCCTCACCTGTGACCTGGAGGCTCTGCGGGGTTCGGTAGGTGACGACCGTGGGGTCCAAAGTGGGGGACATCATCTCGGGGAGCTGCCACCACCACGGGGTTCCCTGGCATGGCAGTGGGGGCCACCACCCAATGCTGGGGGAATGGCTGGTCCCCAAGGACGGGAGATGGATGGGCACTGTGGAGAGCCCCTAGCTCCTGGGAGAAGGTGGCTGTGGAGGGTGTCACCTCCCCTCGTGGCCCCCCAGAATGAGTCCCTGGAGAGGCAGCTGCGGGAGCTGGAGGAACGCTATGCCCTGGAGACAGCAGGCTACCAGGACACGGTGGTGCGGCTGGAGGAGGACATCCGCAGCCTCAAGGAGCAGATGGGCCGGCACCTGCAGGAGGACCAGGATCTGCTCAATGTCAAGTTGGCCCTCGACGTCGAGATTGCCACGTACCGCAAGCTGCTGGAGGGAGAAGAGAGCAGGTGACGGCAGAGTGGGGGCTCCATCCTGCCCCTCTCCCCCTCCCCAGCCACGTCCCAACCTATCCCCAAGTCCTTGTTGTCCTTCTGGGGTGTCCGACCTGCTTGGGGACTACACTCCAGCCCTCCTGCCCCAGCTCTGGGCAGGGCTAAGCTGGTGTGCAGGGGGGGCAGCAGGACCCCAATGCTCTTCCCAACACCCCCTGTGGCTTCTGCAGGATCACCATCCCCGTGCAGAGCTTCTCCAACCTGCAGATCCGAGGTGAGGCCATGGCCACGTGTGGGGCGTGGGGGCCACGACGGTGGCACAAGCAGGGGTGGCTTCTGGGAGCTCCATGGGAGGAGGTACCATCTTGGCTGTCCCTGCCCCATCCAGAGGGACCGGGAACTCTTCCTCCAAATCTCAAGGAATCAGGACTCCTGGGTTCTCCCAAGATGGGAGGAGGAGTGTGCCATGGCCACATCCCCAAGGTCAATTATGTTCCCCAGTGCCAACTCTGTCCCCAAGGACAATCCTGTCCCCAAGCCCAATCACATCCCAAAGGCATCCCAAAGGCATCCATATCCCCATGGCCAACCACATCTCCAAAGCCAAACATGTCCCAAGTGCCACCTGTGTCCCCAAGGCTAATCCCATCCCAAAGCCAGCCACATCCCCAGTGCCAACTGCACGCCCAAGGCCAACTATGTCCCCAACCATATCCTTGTCCCTGAGGCTGGTCACGTCCCCAGGACCACTGTCTTGCATGCTTCAGGGTTGTCCAGCCCAACCTGTTTCCTTTGGGCCCCTTCACTTGAGCACAGCTGGAAGGGCTACACCCCAGGCACCGGGTCACTGCCATGTCCTTTCCATGTCCCCTAGAGACCAGCCTGGACACTAAATCCATGTCAGAAGCCCATGTGAAGAGGAGCATCGTGGTCAAAACTGTGGAGACCAGAGATGGAGAGGTGGGAAGTCCTCATGTGCGTCAACCACACTGCCACCCCTCCACCCTGCCTCCCCGTGGGTTGTCCCCAAGGAGGGACACACACACCCCCCATGCACATGGGGCCACCATCCCTCAGCCCCAGGAGGAGCCCGGTTAGGGACCCAGTGATCCCAGTGCCCTGCCAGCAGAGCATGAGCTGGCTGTGGACCACGGTGGAGCTCAGCCTGGCAGCTCATAGAGAAAACTGTCCCTGTCCCCATCCCCATCCCCGTCCCTGTCCCCGGGCGCATTCAGGCTCAGTCGGGGAGGAGAGCCTGAGCGTGGGGTGATGGTCCCTCTCCCTCTACCTCCAGGTGATCAAGGAGTCCAAGCAGGAGCACAAGGAGGTGATGTAGGGCTGGCGAGCCGCAGCAGCCGCACGCTTGTAGCCGTAGCTCCGTAGGTCCTGTCCGATGCTGCGAGGGAGCCCCGCGGCTGGGCACGGGTCGCAGGAGGAGCCGGTGGTGTTTCGGTGGGGGGCATCGCCCTCCTGCCCACCCCTCGCCTCTCCCACGTCTCTCCATGCCCCAGGGGACCCCGCTGACACCCTGTTCGGGGCTGGCTGCCAGCAAAGCACCCGTCCCACCGGGCACAGTGTGGGGAAGGGACGGGCAACACCTGGGGGAGGCGAGCGGTGCCGGGCAGAGACGAGATCCTCCACTGGGATGCTGCGTGTTCCCACGGCACAGAGGGGACAGTAATTTTAGGTCTGTGCCCATGCTCGCCCTGGGTCTCCAGCTCGTCAGTGCCCAGGGGGAAGAGTCCGTCTCATTTCAATCTCTGTGCGCTGGTTGGACAAGATGATGGTGAGAGCATCTCTCCTTGTATCCCACCTTGCTGCCCACTCTCTGGTCTGAGAGGCCACCCCGAATATCCCCAGCGCACCCAGAGCATCACTGGAGGGGCTGCAGGGTGCGAGGTGAGGGACGTTCCCCTGTCACCAAGCACTGGGTGGGCTTAGCCAGGAGGCACGGGCAGGAGGAAGGGAGGATGGAGAGGCAGGATGGTCTCAGGATGGTATCAAAGGGTGATGAAATGGGGATAATGAGGGGTTCCTGGGGACACCGGACTGTCCAGGGTGGTTTGTGGGGCTGGAGCAGTGGTGGGCACAGCAGGCTGGGTGGCCTCATGGGTTTCTCCTGGAACAGAGCTGTCAGGGCTGTCCTGACCTCCACTGGGTGTCCACCACCAGGGTGTCCCCATCGCTCCGGTGGGGAAAAAACAGTGCCAAGGTACTTGTGGTGAGGGGTGACCCACGGCCCCTCGCCTGGGGGGGTCCCACGCAGGTGAAAATGGAGAGGAGGGGAGTGCAGAGGAGGAGGAGGAGGGTGTCAGGGCACCCGCGGGTGCTCTCACAGCAGGAGGTGCCTCCCGCAACCCAGGAGAGATGGGGGAGGATGGACGGAGCCAGCCTCATCCTGCCTGTCCCACCCAGGCTCACGCTAGGAGCCAGCAGGGCCAGGGACCAGGGCTGTCCCTGTCACAAATCTGCCATGTATGGAGCCCAAGTCCACCCCCAGCACGGGCATTCAAGATGGGGTCGGAAGAAAACTCTTGTCCCTTATCTCCACATGGCCTTGTCCCCCATCTGTCCTCCCCTGAGACCAGCACATGCCACCTGTCCACCCAGGGCCATCGCCCAGCCTGGTGCTCGCCCGCAGCCACCGTCCCCACCTTCGATTTAGCTGCTGACCATGTGTGAAACCTGCCCTGATGCCACCTAACGTAGCAGCAACAACCCAGCAGCGCTTCTCCTACCCCATAACCCCTTTGGGATGAGCGCACGGGATGCCACTGGGATGCCATCCCCCTTGTCCCCTCTGTCCCCCTCGTCCCCTGGCTGAGGTGCTGAGCACGCTTTGCAGCTAACGACTCCAGAAAAGCCATTCCCAGGGGCAGCAGATATTATAGGAGACCCGGGTGCTGCCCAGGTTTGGCAACTGGGGTGGGATGGCAGTGGCCCAGGGGGGCTCAGTCCCCTGTGAGCAGACTCCGGCTGGAGCTTTGCAGCCCACGTCGCTACGGAATTAATTCACTAACGCCCGTGGCAGCTTGAGATGAGAAATAAAGCTAACGCAAGCGCTGCGCTACCATGGTCGTGCCTGCAGTCCGCCTCTCGCAGCCAGTGCCGTGGGTTATTTGGGATCAGCCGGGGCGGCGAGGCCCTTCGGGGACCCAAACCGAGTTCAAACTCAAACTCAACAGGGGCTGCAAGCCCAGCGCTGTGCCCCAGGCATGGCCAACGGCATACCCATAAAGGATGGCAACACAGGGGAAGTGGGTGCAGAAATAACGCCCCCAGAGCCGCAGCCAGGCAGTGGGGTGGGAGAGATCCCCTTTCCGGGAGGCAGGGAGGGGAAGAAGAGATCTGCTTGGGGTTCTTCAACCTCAAACCCAGGTCCTTCCCTGCACAAACCCAGGCTGCAGCTCCTGGGAAGCTCCTGGGGTGGGCTGCAGCTCTCAGGGCTGATGGTGGATTTGAGATCCTGCACATCATCTGCGTGGTTCAAGGGCCTGAGCATCACTGGGCCCCTCAGGGCTGCTCTCCTGGACAGCGGGATTTCTCTTGGGAAGGCTGAAATCCCCAAGCCACATCCTTGAAAAAAGGAGTGGAGATGAGCCCCATGGGGAAGTCCTGCTCCATGCTGAGGAGCAAGCATGTGGTCACCTAAACCCTGCAGAGATGCCATCCTCTTTGGAGGACATGCATAATAATTTTGTCAGGCATAAATATAGACTCATAAGTCTGTGGTGCATCAGGTGAGTTAAAAAAAACCAACCAAAACCAGAGAAAATTCTGAAGAGAATCACCAGATTAATTTGAAAAAAAATTATTTTTTTTTCTTCAAAACTGAAAAAATGTTTAAACCAAAACATAAAAACATGGGTTTGCTCCAGCTACGGAGCTCAAAGGAACATTGAACATTTTGAAATGTTGGCACTCCAAGTTCTCAGCAATGAAAGAAAAGCTTACAAAAAGGGTAAGAAAAGCAAGAATTAATTAGATTAAAATAGTTTGGTGGATCTTTTTAGCAGCCTCTTAGAAAAACAGCTCAAATAAATCACTGATGCAGTTCGAGAACTCTGTAGAGCTTGGCCAGAAGATCTTGCAACAACTCCAAGTATTCTTTTGAAAGGGACTATATTGAGCTTAAAACCCCACCGCAAGCCAGCAGCAGAGGCAGGAACAAATCGTGGCGGTGTGAAATCCCCGCCTGTCCCTCCGGAGCTGTGCCAATCTGCAACACCAGGAGTTTTCCACATCGGTCCTCGCTGTCACGCTCTTGACCCAAAAGGGAGGATGAGCAGGCACTGGCAGTATTTTCATTTCTAATGCTCAAAACATTAGAAATTTCTAATGGGAGGGTGGTCCGAGGTGTTAGAGTGACCCGTTGGGGCCATGGTGGAGATGCTATGTCTTGGCAGGCCAGCCGAACACCCGCCGGCAGTAGCGGCACACATGGATGATAACAAAGACGATGCTGATGAGGACGTAGCTCAGGCCAATGGCCTTGATGGCGAAGATTGTCTCAGGATCATTGAGTGTCCGCCTGTGCCAGCGCTGGTGGATCACACTGAGACGGAATCCGGCCACCATCTTGCCCTCCCGCCAGCAGAAGTAGGTGCCTCCATCGCTGACTCGGACCCGCTGGATGTGCAGGTGGTTTCCATGGTCAATGAAGACCCTCATGCTTTTGTTGACACCAATGAGGTAGCGGGAGCGGTACAGACGGACGGATTCCTTGTCCCAGGCCACAGCATGCTCAGGACGGGCTCCTGGGCATGTGATGATCAGGCCACTTCCAACGGTCTGCTTGTGAAACTGCGTGGGGACTTGGGGCAGCCAAGGCTTCTCGCCCAGCTTGGAAATGACATTGGAGATGGACTGCACGCCTTCCTCAGGGACCTCCTCCTTCAGGCAAGGGGTCAGGCAGCTTCGGATGGCCACTTCGGGTCTCCGGAGGTGGCTAGGACGCTGGAAACGTGCGGGGACAGCCCTTGAGCCACAGGATGTGACATTGGGCACGGCGGTGCGATAGCGAGGGTGCAGCTGGGCGCTCCGCATGTAGCAGAGCCCGATCCGCCGCTGCTCACCTCTCACCCCACAGCGGTCGCATCTGGTCCAGTCCCAGAAGGTGGTGAAGAGGCTGAAGAGCTTCTCCGTGAAGTTGTCCTGAACGTGCTGGTCTCTGTCCACAAAAGCCACCGTGATGTGCTTGGTGGGCTGCACGTCCACATCGTAACCATAAAAGAAATCCCCTTTCTCAGTGCCACATAGGTAGTGGCCCGAGTCCGTCACCTGGGCTTGGAAGACAATGAGACTGAACATCCGGATACTGAAACGCTTCAGGACATCACTGCCTGCGTGGATATGGCCTGAGTCGACAACCATGGTGCCAGCAAAGTCCGTCAGGACTGTGGTTTCATGGCTGCCCATGTTCTTCTGGAAGTACCAGACGACAGAAGAGACCTCTTCGGGCTTGCAGTTGCAGGGGAGCTCGAAGGTCATGTCAGCTAAGTAGGCGGCATTGTCGAACATCAGGAAAGCAGGACAAGCCATTCTACTGAACACATCTCCTTTATCTTCAATCACAAATGCATGGAGAACATCTACCATGCAGAGGAGAACGGTGGCTCCTGGCAGCCTCATCTCCATCACGCCGGGTGGTCTCTGCAGTCAGCAGAACCAACCCAGTCACTGCGTCCTCAGCAGAGACGGCAGGAACCCGCATGCGGGGTTGGCAGCGCCAGCGCCAGGCAGGGACACACCAGCTCGCTCAACAAAGATGGGGTCTGAAAAAAACCCCTCACCTGCAGTGCACGTGGCTGACAGCAGGGATCAAACAGTGGCTGAAATGTCCCATCTCAGCTGAATATCTGCTGGGAAGCACTCCGTCCCGCCCCAGAGCAGGTTGTCCCCTGGGACACGGACTCTAGAACCTCTGCTCTCTCCCAGCTGCTCTGGAGTGTTGTTGTCTGTCCCCCGGACAACGAGCAGGCAGGTTGTTCGTGCAGCACAGCCACAGAAGGAAGATGCAGCAATGGAAAGGGTGGTGGGAACAAGGGACCCACTGTCCTGGTTTGAGGTAAAACAGAACCAATTTTGGTCAGTAACTTCGTTTCTTAGCTGGGCCTCTCTGACTACTGAAATTAACAGCATATTGTGCAGACAATGTTCACTCTCTCAGAGTGATAAGATCTGGGGTCCTCCAGGTCCCCAGTAGCCGATTTGGCCTAAACCACGACACCCACCGACATCTTCTTGAAAGGCTCATGCAGTAAACGTTAATTATTTCTCTGATCCCTCTGAGCACAATGAACCCAGAGAAGACCCTCGTCCGACAGCAGCTGACCTCTGTTGCCCAGAAGAGGTTTCAAACACGGTATTTAGACTTCTACATGCTCCCTGTTGGCTTTCCAAGGGTTTGTGTGCAGAAGCCCCTCTGCACAGGTAATGTTTGAGGTTCCCCCTCTCGAGTAATCAAGCCAGGCTTTTTGTTCATGCACCCTAGTCTGGACTGATGCTGGAGGCCTTAAATGCATCATGTCTCAGCCGGGGAGGGATTTTTTACAAGGGCATGTAGTGACAGGACAAGTGGGAACGGCTTCGAACTGGAAGAAGGGAGATTTAGATTAGATCCCTTTGAGGGTGGTGAGGCACTGTCCCAGGTTGCCCCGAGAAGCTGTGGCTGCCCCATCCCTGGAGGTGTTCAAGGCCAGGTTGGACGGGGCTCGGAGCAACCTGGGCTGGTGGGGGGTGTCCCTGCCCAGGGCAGGGGGGTGGGAGGGACTGGATGATCTTCAAGGTCCCTTCCAACCCAAATCATTCTACGATTCTACGATTCGTCTACAGTGAAGGTGAGATATTTGCTCCCCATTGGCCCTGGCTGGACTTTCAGCTCAGCTTTTGGCCCTTCTTGAGCAGATGCTCAGATCAGACCATGAACTGACTGAATGGGAAACTGATCCCAGCTCGTCTAACAGCCCGTCCTCCCATAAACATTCACCCAACCTCTCCTTTACTTCATCCCTCCTGAGTCTTCTCACCAAACCATGGGGACTTTGCCCTTCCACAGGCGATGCAGATGCAGCACACTGCTCCCATCCTTGACATAGGATGTGAGTGCAAGCCCTGAGCCTCGGGGCTGCTGAAAGCACTGTGCCTGTTCCCACCAGAGCTGTAACTGTTGTGCCAGGGCTGTTCCTGCATCAACAGCCCCCATCCTGACCTTGGGAAGCTACAGGATCTTTGTTGTTTTGTTTAAGAATTCAGCTCCCAGCCTTCTGCTAGTCCTCAGGTTTGCAAGTGTTACGCAAAGGCGAGAGGAACGGCACCCACAACAGATTGCAGGGACACGGATGTCCCCAAGATAAACGACACAAAGCCCAACATTGTGTCAGACCTCAAAGAATAGCGCCTAGTGGTTTCTACAGAGAGGGTGGGAGAGGGATGGTTATAGTCTGCCAGGGTGACTCTACCTTTTGTTCCTCTAGCTGGGTTTCACACCAAAACGGACCTGACGGTTGGTTTTGAGCTGAATTCAAGGGAGTCTGAGCATTATAACATACATTAGGCTCTTCAGCACACTTGGGAGAAGCTTGAGGATCCTCCCAGACCAGAACTGCAAGAGAGCTTGGTGGGTAGGTGCTGAGCTGTGCTGTATGAGGGCCTCTCTGAAGTCTTCAGCCAAAACAGGAAGGCTACTCAATTTAGACACACTATTAGGCAGTCTTGGAGAGTGTTTTTGTTGGACCGATGCCTGGCAGCTCCTTTTAAATTTCAATTTATGTGGAATTTCAGCAAATCAGATAGCATCTGAGATCATAAGACCATGAGGTGACAGGATCTCTGAGGTTTACCCCATGCCTTGCTGGTTGGGGTAGAATAATAACGAAATAGCTGGTCAGACCAGTCCCAGATACACCACCTTGCACAGCATTTCCACTTCCATCAGCCCATTCTACCTTCAGTGGCTGCACAGTTAAGCATGACGTCTCATTGATTACATTTCTTAAAAAACCCTGGTGACAACGGACAGAGATGAAAAAGGTAAGGGACTATTTGGGTTTTGGTTTCCCTTTCAGAAATAGCAGCCTAGTTTTCCTTTCCCTCGCTTGCTCTCCTCATCTAAGAGATTCTGACAGAGTGGTTCTGTGAGGACCCTTGCCCCAGAGATCACAACACACTTCTCTCGGTAACTAACCTTTATTTGTGCAGAACTACTGCCCCGAGTGGCTTCCAGGTACACAAAAATGTACAGCAGTGCTCCAGAAGCATCTGATTTACCTGTCTTCCACAATGTCTGATGCCAAAGTCAAGCTTTGAACCTCTTTTGCGCTCTGTTTCTGCATGACCCTCGTGCTTTTGCTCCTTCAGTTGACCTGGTAACATTTCATCAGCTCTATCACCATCCTTTCCTCAGCTTCCTTTTGCAAACTGGTGTCCATGAGGTGGGCTTCCCTCCCTGCTTCGGACCTGTCTGGGCCGCTGGGATGGCCAGAGGTCCAACAGTCCCTGTTGGGACTCATGCTCTGCAGCTTCCTAAACAAATCACTGCCGCTCTCCTTCTCCAACTCACTCAGAAGATCCACGTTTAACCCGAAGCGCTTGGTGCCCGAAAGGCTCTGTAAGATCTGAAGAACAGCATCTCTGTCTTCGTGACAGACATTCTCTGCCAGCACTGTAAGGAATTCACCCAGGAGGCCAAAGCCCAAGTCAGCCTGAAAGATTCTGCCCAAGGCCTTCCCTCCGAGTTCAAGCAAAAACTGGTATTTTTCTTTTCCGCTCTTTAAGCATCTGCGCCAGTCTCTGTAAAATTCGGCAGAGGTTCCGGGCAGTTGATCCAGTTCCTGAAGGAAAAAATAGTTACCAGTTCCTTTTGTTTTGTTCCCGCTTGAAGATTTTTATTGCCACCCCCAACCCGATCAACCTGAGATGTTTTTAATACAGGCTTTGATAGCCCAAAGGGCTGCATAAAGCTTGTGACGTGCCAATACATAAAGACAAAGAAATACCAGGTTCCTCAAGCCCCACAGAAACCAGAGAACTTCAGGGGAAAATAATGGAAGAATGGATGAGACATGGAGCCCAGCATGGATGAACACAGACCAGTAGTGGAGTAACCCCAACCCTAACCAGAACCAGACACGCTGCCCAGTCTGGATCCACCATCACTGCTCGGGAAGGGATCTCCTGCAGACCAGGGTAGTTCAGTGAAAACCTCTGCTCCATCTTGAGCATTGTGAGGCAAATCAAAGGGCGAGGAGATAAAAGATACGAGATTAAAATCCCAGAAAATATGCAGATGGCCCTAAAGCGCCGTCTCATAACATACTGCATTCGTATGGGTCTATGGCAGAGAGCTTGCGCTAAAAGAGAGTGCCAAGCTCAATGTGGCATCTCCAGATAAAAGGAAATCCTGTTTTATACAATATGTAATTGAACTGCTGAACTCATCACCGCTGGCTTAACTGACGCACAGACTGAAGGAGGATTAAAATGTTTAGGCTTTTATACACATAGCGAGAACAAGGCATGGCAACATCAGGCTGTGTCTAAACACAAAATGGAGAAGCCCCCGAGATCAGAGCTCAGGCGCTAACGGGATTAGGAAAAGAATTTGCTCTGGGGAGATCATTGCTCAGTCCAAGAAAACACAAAGCTGCCTCGAAGAGTTGCAAAAAGATCTCATAATAAACAGGCAAATGAAATTCAGTGTCAAAAAAAAAATAATCCATGAGAAATATCCCCGGCCAGTGACCACAACTCTCCAGCGTGGGCAGAGTCCGCCGAAGGGGGCAGGACAGATGTCACTCAGATCGCAGATGACCTGGATAGAAAATGTTTAGTCACTGTTTCCCACAACTGAAGAATTGAGGAGCATCCAGTGAACTCATCAGGCAGCAGGTTTTAGACAAAATAGCACTTTTCCATATTATGCATAATTAAACTGCAGGGTGAAAAAGAACTGGCTACGTTCACAGAAGATCTGCAGTCTGTGGCTATTAAACGTGATGATCCAGATGCACAACTCTGGCTCTCGGTCTCTAAACCGCAGCCAGCTGGAAGAGTATGGTCAAGGGAGGGCACTCTTCCCCAAGAATCTGTTACTGGCCACCATCAGAGGCAGGGTATTGGGAGCTCTGGTCGGACGCTGTGCAGCTGGTCTTAGATTCCCACTGGGTTGAAGCAGAGTCTTCTTGAAGCAGCTGGCGCAAGCGCTTATCAGACACAAAGTACGGGCCAAGACTGAACCCTGTGGTTATCTAAACACCAATGTTCCTGGGGACTTTGAGGGCTTGCTCACATGTAGAGATATTTCCGAGTAACTCTCGCATTTTAAAATTATACCCAAATTATTCTGGAGTCATTTTTAGATGTGGACAAAGTCCCAGAATGTGTCTCCCTCACCTGGGGTATTTCCATGTCGCTGGCTTGCGGGGTCTTGGCGTGGGCTGCACAGGGATTCCACAGCACGTTCCTCCTCTTATCCATCTTGTCCTTTTTCTCGAGGGGCTTCAGGTGTGATGCCAGCACAATGTTCCTGCAAGCAACAAGAAGGGGATGGGATACTTAGCAAGATCAAATACTTTGAGGCTTCGAACTTCTTCTCTGAGGCAATTTCTGAGTTTGGGCCATATGTATCATCCAGAGGGATGCTGACAGGCTGGAGAAGTGGGCCCATGTGAACCTCAAGAACTTCAAAAAGGCTGAGCGCAAGGACCTGCACCTGCACTGGGGCAATCCCCAATATCAGCACAGACTGAGGGATGAAGGGATTGAGGGCAGCCCTGAGGAGAAGAACTTGGGGATACCGGTGGTTGAAAAATTGGACATGACTTGGCAACGTGTGCTGGCAGCCCAGAAGGCCAACTGTACCCCGGGCTGCATCCCCAGCAGCGTGGCCAGCAGGGCGAGGAGGGGATTGTGCCCCTCTGCTGCGCTCTGGGGAGAACCCCCTGCAGTGCTGCCTCCAGCTCGGGGGGTCCCACCAGCAGAAGGACACGGAGCTGTTGGAGCGGGGCCAGAGGAGGCCATGAAGACGATCAGAAGGCTGGAACTCCTCTGCTGTGGAGAGAGGCTGAGAGAGATGGCGTTGTTCAGGCTGGAGAAGAGAAGGCTCAGGGGAGACCTTATTGTGGCCATTCAATACTTAATGGGGGCTTACAAGAAAGATGGAGAGAGACTTTTACCAGGGCCTGTAGTGACAGGACAAGGGGCAATGTTTTTTAACTGAAAGAGGGAAGGTTTAGATTGGATATAAGGAAGAAATGTTTTATGATGAGGGTGGTGAGACACCGGAACAGGTTGTCCAGAGAAGCTGTGGATGCCCCGGCACTGGAAGTGTTCAAGGCCAGGTTGGACGGGGCTTTGAGCAACCCGATCTAGAGGTAGATGTCCCTGTCCATGGCAGGGGGTTGGACTGGATGGGCTCTCAAGGTCCCTTCCAACTCAAACCATCCTGTGATTCTATGATTCTGTCCAACAAGACTGGGATTTCAAATGAGAGCATGAAGCATGAGAGACGGGGCAGAGGAAAACAAAAGCTATTGTATGGGGCATTTGACAGGCACATCCTCCGCACACACTCAGTGGTAATTTAGTCATCAGGACAAACGAGGCAGGAATTTCCCCGTAGGCTGCAGCACCGTGGTTCCTCTCCGGCATGGGGAACAGCTCGTTCTCCAGGAGCTGGGCATTTCCACCCAACAATTCCTCCAGAGCCAGAGTCTGAGGAACTGGCAGGACATTGTTTCATCCTGCCTTTTTCTTACGGTGCACTGTGGCTTTGGGACTTCCAGAGGAAAGATCCTAAATTCTTACAGGACCTAGGGACTGTTCTGTAGCTTGCAGCACGCTGGGCTGTGTACGTTTCTGTGGATTCATTTGAATTCGGCATTTTATTACACTGACATCTGTGACTAAGTACAGCAGCCCCAACTCAGCGGCTCACGTGGCTCTTCTCATCCCGTGGGATGAATCCCTGCAGCTAGTCCTCCCAACAGCCAGCAGGAGATCTTTGAAGGGGTCCGGGTCTCTGCCCTTATGCTAGTGTGGGCTACACGAGTGAAGACGCTGCACCCACAGAGAGAAGCTCCTCCGTTCCCTCCCTCAGAGTAACAATAAACTGCTAAAATGGCATAAAATCACTCAGGAATCATTTTCTAGGACTGGCGAGAGAGCTGGGGAAGAAAACGCCATTTTAAAGTGTTTTCCTGCCTTTCAGGGATCAGACAGCACAACTGGGAGAGATGAAGCTGTGAAAGGAATTTGATCTAGTCCCACATAAGTCTACCAAGGGGTGGGCAAAGTCCTGGATCCACCTATAGATCCGTCTGTGGATGTCAAAGGACACGGCCTTCCCCAGATGGATCTATAGGTGGATCCAGGACTTTGGTGGTCATTGGGAGTGCCTCCACGGAGCATCTCGCCATCCCCAGGACACAAACCTGCTCCCAAACCACCTTGGACAAAGCGGTGATGGGTTTGGGACCACAAACGTGCTGGGTGGGATGCACGGGGACACACGTCACCCTCTTCTTCTGCACCACCACCATGGGATGGGGCGTGCGGGGAGGAAAGGGAGGGCAAGGCAGGCTGGCAGGGCTTGGAGGGTGGGTACTGCGCCTGGGAATGCAGAGAGAGGACAGTGTGCCATCCCACTGCTGGTCCACAGCTTGGCCACCACAGGGACCTGCCCTGGAGCTGGCTGTTCCAGGCAGGAACAGCTGACATTTTAGCCCACACACATCACAGAATCACAGACTGGTCAGGGTTGGAAGAGACCTCTGGAGATCATCTAGTCCAACCCCCCCCGCCAGAGCAGGGGCACCTCCAGCAGTGGCACAGGACGGCGTCCAGGCGGGTTTGGAATGGCTCCAGAGGGGGAGACTCCCCCACCTCTCTGGGCAGCCTGTGCCACTGCTCATCTCCCCTCAAAGTAAAGAAGTTCCTTCTCATGTTAAGATGGAACTTCCTATGTTCAAGTTTGTGCCCATTACCCCTCGTCCTATCACTGGGCACCACTGAAAACCTGATGACTTTTGGGGGGCAAACCTTAAACAAAGCTGTTTCTGTCCCACCGGGGTTCCATGCCGCTGAGCCGTGGCCTTTTTGGGAACCCCGAAGGCGGGTTTGCTGCCCTGCCAACCTGCGTTCAAGGCCACCTGGAGCAGAAAGCACAGATAACCAGATCAACCCCCTTGCAGAGCGAGGTGGGAGCTCAAAACCTGCTGGGTGACCTCGCCTCTTAAGAAGTCCCAAAATTGGAGCTCCAAAAGGAAGAGCTCCAAACCCCACCCGTGATGTTGGGTGGGCGCCGTGGCAGGAGCGCCCGGCGCCGAGCAAAGCTTTGGTGATGGCGTCGCCCGAGCCCGTTTGGGGTAGGGAAGCACCCGAACACCCGAACACCCCCCCTCCCTGTCCCGGCTGTCCCCCGCCGGACCTGAACTCCTCGTAGGC